TTCCTTCCTTCCTTCCTTCCTTCCTTCCTTCCTTCCTTCCTTCCTTCCTTCATCTTCTATCCTCTATTTTTGGTAGGAGTGGGTGGGGATAGAGGCTTGAGCATATTTCCAGCTCGATGGGCAAGGAAGAAGCAGGTGATTTGATTGCAAGGTGGTGGAAGTCACTCCTTGTTCAGGCTGGAGGGGCAGTTTCCCGAGTGCAGAAAAAGGTTGACCTAGGATGAGGGCAGGAGGCAGGGAAGAAGACATAGAGGTTGATGAGCCAGTTAAACGTAAGCTAACAATTGCTAGGGGCCAGGGGGGTTTGCTCAGAAAGTCTTAGGCAAATGGGGTGAAGGGGAGGGATTGGTTTAGAATTAGGTCCACAACAGAGGGCTCCGCAAGATGCTGTGGGAGCGTGGTGTGCAGAGAGAGGTAGCCACAGTCTGCCTGGGAAGGTGGTGCAGAAATGGAGGGTGTCCCAGGCTGCTGGCTTGGGCACGGAGGGATGAACAAGCCTGGCCTATTGGAGGGGCTGAGTGGTGGGAGGTTGGGGCAGAGGAGAGGATGTGGCAAGGGATGGAGCCAGATAGATAGGCACAGCAGGACTGCAGTGTCCTAATGTAGGAGTTTGCAGACAGATACCTGTGATTCAAGTAGCTCAGAAGCTGGGTCGCTGCGAAGATGTAATATTACAGTGGGACTTGGCTTTGCCTCTTCATGTCTGAAATACTAGTTGCTCAGACAGGGACCTTAGGGGGCGATGAGACTTTACAGTAGACCCTAAAAAATGGGCTCTGGGTCAGGAGAGGAGATGGGTCTGTTGGTTGGCTGGGGCTGGCTGGTCTGGGATGGTCTTGGACGGGACAACTAGACGCTCTTCCACAGGGACTCATCCTTCAGCAGCCCAGCCCAGGCTTGTTCTCATGGAGGAGGCAGGGGTTTGAGAGAGGACATGTTCAAGGCCTTGTGCAGCCTAGGCTCAGGGTGGCACACCATGACTTCTCCCACATTCTGTTGGCCAAAGCAAGCTGCAAGTCCAGCCCAGATTCAAAGGGGAGGGGAAGCAGACTCTACCTCTTGATGGGGGAAGCTGCTGAGTGACGGTGCAAAGGGCTCGGATACGTGGAGAAGTGGAGACTGGGACCATGCCGGCCTCTGTCTGCCCCAGTGGCAGAGCAGGGCTGAATCTCTGCCCAGCTGCTCCAAGCTGTGCTCTTCCCAGGAGGGTTCACTTTTTCCAGGGAGGAGAAAACACTTAGGACAGAGAGAAGAGCAAAGGACAGGGAGCAATAAAGCTCAGGACGTGTCTGGAAAAGTTGAGATGGTTCATTTTGGATGACGTGTGGCGTGTACGGGGAGAACAGCAGAGGAGAGGGCAGGTGGGACTGGCTAGGTCAGTCCTCAGGGACTTTGGACTCAAAGCTAAGCTGCTTGGACTTTATCCCGCAAGAAGACACAGGAAGTTTTCTTTAAAAGTCAGATTTACAATAGTACAACTGCATACAGTAAAATTCACCCTTTATAGGAATATAGTTCCATGAGTTTTGACAAATCCCTATGGCCATGTAATCACCAAGGCAGGCAAGATGTAGAATATTACCATTGTCCCCAAGGGCTTCCTTGTGCCCTTTGTAGTCAATCCCCTCCCCCAGCCTCTGGCAACTATTGCCAGGATTTCATCCCTCTAGTTTTGCCTTTTTCAGGATGTTGTGTAAGCAGCATTGTGCCATATGTAGACTTCTGTATCTTTTCTTTTGTTTTACGTGTGGCTCTTGAGATTCACCCACATAGTTGCATGTAGCAGTAATTCCTTCTGAATACTGACTTGTATTCCACTGTATGGATGTACCACAGGGTTTTTTTTAAATCCATTCCAAGGTGAGGGACATCTGGATTGTTTCCAGTTTGGGCCGTTTTGAATAAAGCTGCTCTAAAGTCACATACAGGTCTTTGTGTAGACACATACTTTTGTTTCTCTTTGGCAAATACCTCCTGTAGGGTTTCAAGGTCACGTGGTATGTATAACTTTATAAGAAACTGCCAAGCTATTTCCCAAAATGGCAAACTATTCTGTGTTCCCACCAGCCACGTATGTGGGCTCGCCTTGCTTCATATCCTTGTCAGTAGTTGATTTTGTCAGTTTACATGGAAGACACAATAAACAAACACATAAATGTGTGTTGGGTAATGACTGCTAGATGCAGTTTGATACACAAAGCAAAGGGTTCTTCTTGAAATGCCATCTTCCAAATGGCTCTGATGATGGAGCCAGAGTCTTCAGGGGTTCCCTTCAGAGGAAAGAATCAGAACAATGCAAGGGACACTAGACTGAGGTCGGGGGCTCTGGGCTAGAATTCTGGCCCTGACTGTGACCATCAGGGTAACCTCAGGCCACTTCTCTCCTTACTCTGGTCCTTAATCTCCCTCTCAGGGTGGGCTAGATGATCTTTTTTTTTTTTTCTTCGAAGATTTTATTTATTTATTAGAGAGAGAGAGAGAGAGACAGCACAAGCAGGGGAACAGTAGAGGGAGAGGGAGAAGCAGGCTCCCCACTGAGCAGGGAGCCTGATGCGGGGCTCGATCCCAGGACCCTGGCATCATGACCTGAGCCACCCAGGCACCCCTAGATGATCTTTCAAGTGCTAGGATTTTTGTACTTGAAGTTCTTAGAAACCAACTTGGGGCTCTGATAAACCAAACTAGGTGCGAAGGAAAGGAATCTCCTCTCTGGAACCAGGCTGTTTTATTGCTGGAGGTCATCTTCTTACCCAATATAGGATCCCTTGGGAAGCATAGCCAATGGGTAGCTGTTCATCAGCCCCCACCCTGGGTGCCCACCCAAGGATGGTGGCTCAGTCCTTCCCAGGGACCAGTTTCATGTTGTCTTTCTGTCTTTTCAAAGGGAAAGGATCACACCTTTCACCAAGGGGAGGTGCCCTCCGATGGTGGATTACAACTCAGATCCTAGTCCTCAAAGCTGCATATGAAGGACAGCCTGTGATGACCAGAGGGCCCAAAGGCCTGAAGACAAGTTTGGGGATGGGAGGGTCGGAGTGGGAATCCGGAGCGTGGGGAGGGTCTTAGAGAAAGGACACAGGGAGAGGGGAGGGATACGGTGATCTCACTTTTGCTGGAGACATCCTCCTGGAGGTCACCATGTCTGCTAGGACAGCCGGGGCCAGAGATCTTTTGATATGGAAGATCAACTATCTTGAGAATTCAAATTGGCTGGTGGCACGAACATGGGAGCTGATGGACTAATGGAACCTCCTCTATTCTAAAGCCACATCGCTTGACTCCTTGATTATTAAAATCCAAAAAGAGGCTGAAAAGGGTAGCATATGTCAGAAGACAGCTGTAGGCCCCCTTTGGGAACTCTTCATCTCCATCCAGGTTGCTTCTGGAAGCCCAGCAGGGCCTAACACTACTATGAGGAGGCTGCTGGCCCCCAGGCCGCGTGCAGTCACTGGAAACAATCAGTTTCATCCTTGGAGTTCGGCCTTGTGGGCACACCAGTCTAGCCCACAGATGGGTCTGCGGGGTTGGTCACAAGGTCCTGAGCTACTTGCTTCACTGTTTTTTGTTGGTAAGAGATTGTATAGGGTGACAGGATTGTGTTGTCCCTAGAAAAAAAGGAGGCTGGGACACCACAGCCTCAGCCACAAAACTCCAATAACGATGAGAAATACTCTTACTCTTCAGAGCGTGAGTGCCTTACGAAAAGCAGTTACTTTCTCACTCGTGTCAAAATGACTTTTTTAGAAGAAGTAAAACTGTCTTTATTCACAGACATGTTCCCTATGTGAAAAAAAATCCTGTGAATCCTCAAAAAGAGCTGATGAGCCAAAACGGGTGCAAACTAGATCTAATAAATCAGCTTAGCAAATTTTCAGGAAGTAAGATCAATATATCAAAATCAAGTATTTCTATATATTAGTGATAATAAAAAATTGAAAATCTAAAATGCCACTTACGATAGCCTCAAAACTATGAAATATTTAGGTATAAATTTGACAAAAGAAGTATAAGATGTTTACACTGACAACTACAAAATACTGCTGAGAGAAATTAAAGAAGACTTAAATAAAGGAGAGATATGCCATGTTCGGGATCAAAAGACTCAGTGTTGCTAACATATCTGCTCCCCCGCAAATTGATCTATAGACTCAATGCAATATCAATCAAAATCCCAGTAATTGTTTTTAAGTCGACAAACTGATCCTAAAAACAAGGAAATATAAAAGACACAAAATAGCTAAAACAACTTTGAAAAAGAGGAACAAAGCTGGAGGAATAGCATTACCTTATGCCATAGCATGAAACTGGTGTCAAGATCGACAGATTAAAGGAACAGAATAGAATATGTAGAAACAGACCCACACCAGTGGACAACTGATTTTCAACGAAGATAAAAAGGCAGTTCAGTGGAAAAAGAGTAATCCTCTCAACAGATGGTGCTGGAATTATTGAATATCAATATGCAAAAAAATGAACTGTGACCAATGACTCAAGTCATATACAAAAATTAACTCAAAATGAATCATAACCCGAAATGTAAAACCTAAATTAAGAAGGCATAGGAGGAAAACCTTTGGACTGTAGATCAGGCTGAAATTTCTTAGATACAAATGTAACTATTTGCTATTCTATAGATCATACTTCAGTATGATATGAACAAATCATTAAATTCTTAAATTGAACTTAATTAAAATTTAAAAATTCTGTTTTTTTTCCAAAGACACTATTAAGAGAATGGAAAGACAAGCCATAGGCTGGGAGAAAATATTTGCAAATCATAGATCTGGTAAAGGATTTATCTCCAGAATATATACATTAGTCATTAAGGAAATGCAGATTAAAACTACAATGAGATACCACTACCCACCTATTAAAAAAGCTAAAATTAAAAAGACTGACCATGCCAGTGTTGGTGAGGATGTGGAGAAACTGGAACTCTCATACACTGCTGGTGGAAAATGTAAAGTGATTCATCTACTTTGGAAAACAGTTTGGCAAAAAACTAATTGCACACCTACCATCTAATCCAGTCTTTCCTCTCCTGGGTATTTACCCAAGAGAATGAGAGCGTATGTCCATCCAAAGACTGTAATGTTCCCAGCCACTTTATTTGTGGTGGCTGCAAACTAGAAAGAGTCCAAATGTCCATCAACAGGTGAATGAATAAACAACTGTGGTGTGTCCATACAAATATTGAGCCTGGCCAAATTGTACAGTTGAACTATGTGCAGTTTATTAGATATAAATGATTACAGTTTGGAAGAAAATAATTAACAACTAAGAGCAATGTAGAATCCTAGATGGGATTCTGGAAAGGAAAGGAACATTCCTATAAAAATCAGTGAGAGAAAAATAAGGTCTGTGGTTTAGTTAATAACAGGATGCTGATGTTAATTTCTTGGTTTTGATAATTCTACTGTGGTTATGTGGAAGATGCTAATGTTGGAGGGAGCTGGGTGAGGGGGGCATGGGAACTCTATATAGTCATTGCAGCTTTTCCACAAGTCTAAAATTAATTCAAAATAAAAAGTTAAAAATATACACAATAAAACTTTTTTAAAAGATTGCTTTACCTTTGGGGTGTCTGGGTGGCTCAGTGGGTTAAGCACCTGACTCTTGATTTTGGCTCAGGTCTTGATCACAGGGTCGGGGAATTGAGCCCCGTGTCAGGCGTGGAGCATGCTTAAGATTCTCTCTCTTTCCCTCTCCCTCTGTCCCTCTCCATCCCCTGCCTGCAGGCATGTATGCATGTGCTCTCTCTCCCTCTCTCTCAAAAAAAAAAAGAAAAAAAAGATTGCTTTACTTTATAGAATAAGTACATTTTTTTCAAATATATTTGTTAGTGGTCATATTGCTGACACTCACTGTCAGCATAGAGCAGGTTAACAATTTTGGAATGCTTGCCTTTTTGTAAGAGAAACCTGTGTGACAACTTTAAATGAGGCAATTCCTTTAAGTACTTTGTCTCGAAATACCAGTGCACTTTTATATGTTACAAAAGTCGCGTATATGCTAAGAAGGGACATTCGGCCATAACGGAGTGAAAGATTCTCTGGCTGCCATGGAAGGCTTCTTTTCCATGGAAGGTTGAAGTGCCACAGGAATTAACATCCCTCAGGAGCTGTCCTCAAATTTGACTGACGGCGTTGGCATATAAACACCCAGCAAACTCACTCCTTGTGGGATAGAACTCTGAGGTGTATGTTTTACTCTGGCTTTCAGAGTTTTCCCCACACAACTCAACTCCCCTTGCCCACAGTGGTAACCTGTCGACAATGCACACTTTCTTGGCTCTCATCTCTTCCTCCACCTACTGCTGTTTTCTTCACCGCCCAAATGAATGGCTTGTGCCCAAATCCTTGTCTCAGGGTCTGCTTCTGACCCAGACCAACACAAGCACTGATATTTTTTTCTAGCATCCCACTGTGTCACCTTGCCAGACCGCTGGCTTGGGCATCTCACTTCGGAGACCACTGCTTTCCTCCACAACGGTAACTGTCTGCCAAGCTCCTTATGCACTGACAAGACAGCCCCATCCAGCAGAGGGCAGCCATGCCTGCAAAAGCATCCTATGGACGCCCAGCTGAAATCCGGCTTCCCTGTGAACTTTGCCCCTTTGCCTGGGCAGGGCTATAAGGAGAGCCGAGGTTTGTTAATTGGGCTCTACTGAGGTGTCCCTTGACCTCTGGGGAAGGAAGGCAGGAGGGCTGGCCATGAGGGCTGGGCTCTTAGCTTTGCCCTGCTTGAACCTAAGTACAAACCCTGTTTGTGATATATTGGACTAAAAGCTTTGGAGAAAAAGAGTTCCACGTCAGGGTAAAGGTTTGCCCACCGTCAATTCTAGTTCAATCTCTTGCAGTAGTCCACAGAAGACTGGGGTGAGCACTCTGGCACATGACATCCTTCACATCAGGATCTAGCAACTCCCTGGTTGCTTAGGAGGGTAGCAGTTTCTTCCAGTTGAATATAAAGTCCTGCCAAGTTGTGGGAAGCCCTGAGCAGGGCAAAAACTGCCTTTCATAAGCCATGTCACCAGACCTGTGACTCCAGCACCATCCTGCAACCTGGATCACAGGTAACATAACAATGAGTGGGCATCTCACATAGGCAGTCCTGTTGCAGCTAAGTAGCTGGTCATCTAATACCTCAGCATGATCAAGCACAGCTGGCTTTTTGCAAGAGGAAACAGGCTCAGAGAAGGGACGTTTCCCTAGGTTGCACAGCACTTATGCTTTAGCTAACATAGTTAATAGGATGAGACTTTTCTTGGCTGTGTTAGGTTCTCAGTAAACGAGGGTGATGGTTTTGACCATCAGGAACCCTCTCCAGTGCCTTGTACCTCAAGTCCACAGTGACCTCAGGCACAACAGCCAGGCCAGGTGAGAGGGAAAGCCCCTCCTGTTCCGAGCTCACGTCCTGAATCCTTGTAATATGGGCTCCTCGCTGCCTGCCCTGGGCCTCAGCAAGCCTGGCCCCTGCTGTTGGCCCTGCCATGGTCCTTTGGCCCTAAAGGGAGTTTCACCTTCTCTAACTTGACCCTTGGAGCTCCATCCCTGAGCCCACGAGGAGCCCACCCAGAGTTGCTTCATTAGGACAAAAGATACTCCTATCACCCAGGAAATTCCAAGGGATTTAGGATTTAGATTCAGAGTCAGGAATCAGGGTCAAAGGCCAAATATTAGAATAAAAGATGTTTCTAGTGCTTTCATCACTTAGGAAATTACAAAGTTTTTTTTAGGAGCCCTGTGCCAAGAACTGGGGACAGAGACCACTATATATTTTTTCTATTACCTTGCAATGCCCCATTAAAAAACTCATTCCCTGGGACTGCTCCCTAGGGAACCCCGTGGGGAGAAGAGGTGATGGACAGAGCAGGATTCAACTATTTCTGGGTCCATTGGGTCAACAATCTTCACACCATCTGTCTTCAGCTGTTCAAGCTGCTATAACAACTTACCAGAGACTGGGTGAATTATGATAAACTATAGAAATGATCCCTGAAAGTATAGTCTTGAGACTGGGTGAATTAAACAATATTTATGTCTCACGGTTCTGGAGGCTGACAAGTCCAAGATCAAGGTGCCAGCAGATCCCGTGTCCGGTAAGAGCCCTCCTCCTGGTTTGCAGATGGACATCTTGTATCCTCACATGGCAGCGATCAGAGAGAGGGCTGGATCTCTGGAGTCTCTTCTAAGGACACTAACCCCATCACAGGTATTCCACCCTCATGACACGCTTACTTCCAGAAGGCCCCATCTCCCAGGACCAGGACACTAGGGCTTCAACATCCCTAGCACCATTGAAATACCCCTTCCTAGACCTCAACAAAGCCTCTTTTTCTCAACACACCCTGCCTGGGCAGTCACCTGGATAATTTGAGTAGTCATGCAAGATGAAACCTGTTAGACCATTTAATCACCAAGACAGGACTAGGAAGCCTAGTTTAGAAATATGTCCGCATTTAACTTGCGTAGCGTGATTTTTCACACTACTAAGCCAAGTTTGGAAAACAACTGTTGCTACTCTGGCATGAATGCCAATGTGTGGACACTATGTGTGTGGACTGAGGGTCTGTTTAAACAAGAGCGGCTCCAGTGGAAGGAAAAGCCCCGTCAGAGCCGAACACTCCCTGCCTCCCTTCTCGGCAGATCATGCCGTGAGCTCTGACCTCCCGCTACAGGTGAGGCCCAGCCACGGGGGCTCATTTCACTGCTTCCAGAGCTGGAGCGACTGTCTCCGCTGGTGCTGAGGCTCACTCCCTACTTCTGTGCTGTAAGATGAGCTACAGCTCTGTGTCCTTGTTTAATTTGTTAATAGCGTCCATGTGGCCTTCAGGCAAATCACTTGACCTTCCTTGAGCCTCACTTTCTCACCTGTAAAATGGGGGTGTAAACTGACCTGCTTCTGGTACAGGATGAAGATCCAATACGAGGGGCACATGGGTGGCTCAGTCAGTTGAGCGTCTGCCTTCGGCTCGGGTCGTGATCTTGGGCTCCTGGGATGGAGCCCCGCATCAGGCTCCCTCCTCAGCGGGGAGTCTGCTTCTCCCTCTGCCCTTCCCCCAGCTCATGCTCTCTCTCTCAAATAAATAAAATCTTAAAAAAAAAAATCCGAGATTGTGTGTCATGTGGCATTTAAGGCTTAAGATACAAATTCTATTTTAAGGGACATTAAAGATTTCTCCTTTAAGGTGAGTTCACAAAAATCCAGACTTGTAAGACTGAATGACTGGAAACGTCCTAAAGGGTTCTTCCCAAATAACCTTAGGATAGGACCCTCATGTCTCACATATTTTAGGAAAATGTCCATCACATATATCCATGTGTACCAAACTCAGCTCTTTTATCTCTGCTCATTTAGGCCTGACAACCAACTTGGGTGACTTTAAGAGCTCTAGCGAACACTCCCAAGTGGTAGTGACTCAGCTACAAAGCTCTATTTCTTGCTCCTGGAATAGGCCAGGCCAGGGCTCAGGTGATGAGCAGTACTGCGTAGTTACTCAGGAATCCGGGCTCCTTCCAACTAGTGACCCTGCCAAAGCCTATGGCCTGGTTGTCACTGGCATCCAGCTAAGAAGGGGAAAGTGCCAGAACCTCATGTGGGAGGTCTTTCCCACTTCTGTTCACATCTCCTTAAGACGGGAGACACCTGAGTGCAAGGGAGGCTGGGGAAAGCAGCTCTAGCAGCTCGAAGAAGGGATTTTAGTGACCAAGCGGACAATCAGGACTGCAGCTCCTGATGACCACGTCTGACACCCTAAGAAGTCGTCCCCTCCCTGATCCGAGCTACCATCACCCCTCCCCTGAGCCCTTCTCACTGGTCGTCTGGCTTCTAGCCTCTCCTCCTGCGGTCAGCCCCATCCCATTCACACCTACAATATGTCACATTGCGACCAGCGGCAGACGTCCAAAAACGGGGAAAAGTGCCCACCGATCCCCGGCCCTCCCCCGTGTCATCCTTCAGCCCTTGCCCATGGTCCAGAGGGGGAAACCCACCGGCGCCGGAGCCCGAGCCTCAAACAAGAAGCGACGAAGGCTAGTCTCCAGGTCACACTTTTATTTGTATAGAAGCAGTGGCCACACGGCCACGGGGACGTGTTCCTGACAGCAAGCACAGCTCCTGCGGCTGCAGGAGCCTGCTCGGGGACACTGGGGCCTTTCTCCTTGGTCCCCGCGGTCATGGGAAAAATAACAACACACCATGCACTGCCGCACACATCCCTCACCCCTTCCCCTTCTGTAACAGCTAATGAGATGATGCATCCTTCCAGCCAAAGAAACTGGCTGCAATTCGGATTCTAGAGAAAACCTTTGTGCAGCCAAGAAACTCGGGGCTCTGGAGGGGAAAGGCCTATTCCTTTACTTTGCACACACACTCACCCCAGTGCCAAGTTTCACTCCCCCTGAAACCACCACATGGATGGACAGGGATGGGGCTGGCTATGGGAAAAAGCCGGTCACGCGGCCTGCCATGCTTGCCAGTCTGCCCCTGTCGGGGCACCGTATGACAGGAACAAAACATAAACCTGAGGCTGCTGTGATCCCGAGACCCTCCCTTCCAAGCCCCAGTTTCCGGGTGAGATCTGTGAAGGGCAGGATTTTGGTTTTTCTAGGACTAAGGGCAGTAGAGGCTGCTAGCATCTCTGGCTACCCTCCCGGCGGCTTAGGATGGAGGCCCCCCTGGTGGAACGCCAGGGCCTTCTTGGCTGGGCCCCTCTGCTCGGGCTAACCATTCCTCCACAAGAAGTAGGATCATCAGTTTAGCATCGAGTGGGAAACGCAGGCGCCCACCAGGAAGCGAAGGCCAGAATTCACGTGCTCTGCAGACAAGCTGGAGAATGAGGTTTCTTATTTTTCTCATGCCCCCTCCAGAGGCCAAATGGGTAAGGGGAGGAGGGAGGGGGTGTCTTTGCCTTCTGAGTGTCACGAAGGTGCCCAGCACTCACGGGACCATCCGAGGACACCTGACAGTGTGCCGAGCCTGCAGGAGGACAGCCGAGCAGAGAAAGCCTGGCTCCATTGGGATTCTGGCAACCTGCAGCGACAAGACGTGGACCCTTCCCTGCGTGCCGTAGGTGTCATTCTCTGAGTGACAGGAGAGCTGGCCTTGGACTGAAGGAAGGACCTTGCAGCGCCCACACAGAGGGTTTATGTTTGGTCTGGCCTTGCTCGGCACTGCAAGCACACGGTCTAGGACAGTCCTGCACTCCCACAGCGGCAGGGCCTGGGGAGGCGAGGGGCCGCAGCTGAGGGCCAGATGACTCGCCCACGGTCGCACGGCTTGCTAACAAGCCAGCAGGGACTGAGAGCCAGCTTCTGCCTCCTAGTGCAGTTCTCGCTCTTGCTCTCAGCATGTCGCTGCCTGGCACGGTTCACTCCATCCCAGCTCCATACACAACACACTTCCTTCTCAGATGCTGGGTCCTCAGCTGAGGACGGGCCGTTCCTCAGCTGGAGTTGCATAACCAACCAGGCTTTTAACAAGTCGGGAAGGACCTAGGGAGGCTCCTTTCCTTCTGGAAGGGAAACGGGGCTAATTTTCTCTGAGCTTAGGATTTGTAAGGCACTGAAATTAACTACAGCTATGGGCGGGGGCGAATGAAGGGAGGAGTGGTTGGAGAAATCAAGCTGATGGTCTTTCCTTGGGGCCCCACAGTGAAACTCCACACCAGGCCTCCATCTTCCTGCTTAGTGGGGTCCACCCCCCGCCCCCCTCCCACCCTGCCCCGCCCCCCGCCCCGTGACTAGGCAGGCTCTGGGGCCCAAAAGAGGCACGGAGGGTCGGGGAGCCAAGGATGGGTGCAGGTGCTCTGGCCCCAGGTCAGAGCGGGAGCCACACCGCCTGGGCTGGGACAGGAGGCAGCCATGAAGTGTCTTTGAGGACACGGTCTTCTCTGAGACCTGGGTGATGGCTGCGGTGGGCCCGCAAGCCTGGGCCGGAAGGAGGAAGGGGCAGGGCGTCCCCAAGGACAGCACAAGGAACTTTGGACTGGGACCTGGCTTTGGCACAGCACGTCTTGGGCCTGCCTGCCCCATCTGTTGCCCTCCGGAGACCCCGGGGAGAGGAACGTTCCTTCCGTCTGTCTTTGAGGGGTGTGTCTGGCCGACTGAAGCAGTGGCAGGTGCGACTCTGGAGCATCCCCTCACCCTTCCAGCCAGACCTGCGCCCAGGTGACCTCACGTGGGGGCTTCCTGGACTCGGGGCTGAGCGGGAAGCCAGAGTCAGCGCAGCTACGGCCCTCAGCACCTCCCGCCAGACCGCCGCCGGACCCCGATGCCCACAGCCTGCGGGCAGGCACTGTGACCCCCCTTCAACAGATGGACAGCTGGGTCCGGAGGGGCTGGGTGACTCGCCCAGAGTCACGCAGCTCACGGGGGGCTGAACTGGGAACGGGACTCAGGTATGTCTTACTCCAGAGCCCACGTCCTTTGCCCTCCACTCGGCTGCCTCTGGGAGCCAGAGCTAGCTGTCGAGGCAGTCCGGGTGGGATTTCTGGAGGGGGTTCTTTCTGGAAGCGTGGATCTGGGAGAGCAGTCAAGCTTGAGTGAAGAGAAGATGCCTCCTGGACCTGGGGACAGGGCCCACCCACATGTCTGTCTCTTTCCGGGCGGGCCCAGGCTCAGTGCCTGGCGGCCTTGCAGATTTTGTCGTACACCTCAGGGAAGGCGTCCTGGCAGCCGAGCCGCTCCCGAAGCCTGTGGTACAGGGAGCCGTCGAACATCTCCCAGAACTCCTCCCGGCTCATGTAGCAGTCGGCATACAGCATCTGGAACCTGGGAAGCACAGGATGGAGAGGGGAAGGGGCCCGAGAGGCCCCGGCTGTGTCCCCGACGAGCCACAGGAAGCTCTCGTGGAGAATTTCTCGTTTACCCCCTGCTGACCCGGGGGCGGGGGCAGGAGCGCTTGCCCCCACATCCATAACCCCCCAAACTTTGATCATGGCCCCGTGTCGTCCGTTGCCCTCCACCACCCAGGCGGCTCAGCTTTCTGTCACTGTGGATTCGAGACTTTCGTATACCAGGAATCATACAGTACTCCTTTTTCCTGTTTTTTTCAATCAGCCTAACTATTCTGAGGCGTGTCCATGTATTCAATACATCAAGGGTTTGTTCCAGGCTCGTTTCTGAGCTATGCTGTCCTGGGCCTCTGTGCCGCTTTCAGTCACGAATCCCTCCGTCCTCCGCTGAGCTCCTCCACCCCCGAGTAGCAGCCCGGAACCTATCTAAAACCACACCATCATCTGCCCTGGGGCGCGGAGCAGGGTGATCCTGGGGCTCTGGCCCGAGCACCTGGGGGATGCTGGTGTGCTCATGGGAGGGCTGTGAGGAAGAGGGGTGGGAAATCCCACCTCCAGACTTTCTCAAGGTACTTTCCAAACCAGAGGCCACTACGGCTCCACACTCCCTCGGCAACCAGTGGGGCTGGCTTGGGACTGGCCACCTTGACCTTACTCTACACCCCCGGCAGCGGCATCCTGGGGCTGGCGGCCGGAGAAAGCGTGCCACGCTCTGGGCCACTCACCCATGCACGCTTCGGACGAACTTCTCCAACTGCCGCATGCACGACCTGGCTTCAAAGTGCTTCACGCGTGGCTCCCCATATGCTCCAATGTCAACATAGAGCTCGGCCTCATCTCCCTTGGGGTGCACCAGGCCCGGCTGGCTGGGCAGGATGAACGGGCACAGCCAGATGGGGTAGACCTGGGTGGACCAGGGAGAGGGGCGTTGGTGTTTTTTCTCCAACAGGTGCCAGCCTCATGGCGGGCCCGCTCCACCCCCACCCAGAGACCCCTCTCTCTGGCTGCCCACAGCTTCACTCCCAATCCCCGAGGCTATGGCCGACAGCGCCTCCACTTTGCCACGTTAGAGGACACAAATGTGAACAGTTCACAGGAGTGCTCAGCAGCAGCCCCCATGCCTTCTCTCCTCTCAGGGCCATCACGGAGCAGGCCCATTTTACAGCTGGGAACACCGAGGCCCAGAGGGTGCCGTCCCCGGCTCACGTGGATGTCATTGTGGAAGGTGTGCACCGCCTGTGACAGGCACTTCATGGGCACCAGCATGTCCTGCACCACGTGGTGCTGCTCGTACAGTTTGCGCAGGGTCTCGCCCTGGGTCAGCTTCAGGAGGGAGATCTTGGGAGGCACCATCCAACCGAAGAGGTAGCGGAAGACGGGGTTGTTGCCAAAGGGGATGATGTCCTGAAAGACAAAGGTTGGCGATGGCGAGAAGGGGCCAACAGGGCCAAGTACCTCCGTGCACCAGGGGCCAGGTCCTCGTTCAGCGTTCCATATGACAGGGCCCACTCCTCCTGTCTGGAGGGGAACGGTGGTACCCACAGTTTGCCCAGTTGGGTCTGGGTTTGAGTCTCAGCTCTGGCATTTACCTGCTGCGATGACCTTGGGCTAGTTACTTACCCTCTTTGAGCTTAGTTTCCTTATCTGTAACACAGGATTTGAAGGAATAATGAGATACCACCTAGAAGGCACACAGCCCAGTGCCGGGAGCAAAAGAAGATAACTGTAGTTGCTGTAGTTGAGGTCAGAGTGGCTGGCACACAGAAGGCATTTTGTAAATGGTCGAGAAAATGTTACTGAATGAGAAGATCATCAGAGAGCTTAAGCAATTGCCCTAATGTCACACAGCCAGGGGCCGCTCTCACTGGGGTGGGCAAGGTCTGGCTCAGGGTCATCCATGAGCCCACCGGTTCACAGTGTCTCCAGAGAGGCCTGCTCAGACTCCTCTTTAAAATGTTACTACTCCCCACCCCTCCACGCACAAAAGCAAATTCTCTGTCATCTTTCAAGGCCAAGTCTGACGGCTAACCTCCGACCCTAGGCAGAATTAGCCACTTCTCTTCTCGTGCCTGTGGCCCTTCACAGCGCTACCCTGCCTGCCTCCCCCAACTCAGCCTCCCTGGAGACGCTCCTGAGCAGAGGCTGCTCTTCTTCTTCCGTGCTCAACCCACCCCCGGGGAGGAGCCCCCTCCCTCAGCACTGCTTCTGACAATACCCCATGCTACCCACCAGCTCACCATGGCTCCCACCTGCCGGCCATCCTGCCTGGTCACCAACAGCCAAGACTCTCGCCTCCCTCCACTCACTATCTTCCTCCCTTGCTCCAAGCCTGTCTTCCCGAACGTAAAGGAATGTCCTTGGCTTCAAGAATGGGGTAGCATTCTTGGAGCGAGCACCTGCGCATGAGCCGGGGGAGGAGCAGAGGGAGAGAAACAAGCAGATCCTGCACTAAGTGCGGAGCCGGATGTGAGGCTCTGTCTGACAACACCGAGACCAGGACACGAGCCAAAAATCAAGGGTCAGATGAAATCAAGGGTCAACCGACTGAGCCACCCAGGCGCCCCCAAGGACATTCCTCTATTCATTAAACAATTATAAGGTGCCTATGAGGTCAGGCATGAGGTTCCACGCTGGGTGCTGGGGATAGCAAGAAAAATGAGACATGGTCCCTATCCCTGTCCTGCAGAGTCGACGAGACAGGCCACAGGACTACAGTGTGGGAGGAGCTGGGACAAAATGACGCAGGGCCCACATCAGACGAGGGGTCAGGGGTGGCTTCCCAAAGGAACCCAGGTGCTAAGCTCTGAAGCCCAGGGACCCTCCCTCTCTCCCCTGGAGCCAGCTCTCCAACTGGCGGCCCACTCCTAAGAGGGAGGGACCCATCTGCACTCAGCTCTGCTCAGCTCTTAGATCCTGGCACCTACACTGACGCTAGCACATGACCGGAGAACAAGGTGTGGCTTGGCTTTTATTGTTCCCTCACTTGTTTTTGGAAAAGTCACACATACCCACAGCAGAAATCCCAGCCATCCAAAGGTTAGGCCTCCTTTCATGTCCTCACCCCATTTCCCCCCTGGGTCCTGACCCCACTTCATTCTTCCCCAACCCAACTTCTGTCCCCTCCCCAAAGGCAGCCATTGTTAGGATGATCTGTGTCCCTTTCTAGAGACACTTGATGCGCAGACACGCGGATGGGAGTACAAACCAACAGCTCACAGACGGTGGCGTCTAACAGCCTTGTGCTTCTCCCTTCCCAGAGTCTCGTGCGCAGCCAGCCAGGACACGCTTGCCCGTGGGTGCTACCACTGCCCTGCGGGCACCCACAAACTATGGCTCCTGGGACAAATCTGGTCCTCAAATAAAGCTCTACTGGGACACAACCATGCCCATGTGTTTTACACCCTGTCTGTGGGGGCTTTCGGGCTGTAAGGGCAGATCGGCCTCTAGAGAGACCCCATGGTCCACAAAACCCAAACGAGCATCTGGCCCTTTACATTGCCCTCCCGTGTGGACGGACCTTAATTGATTGAATCAGTTCTGTACGGATGAACATTTAGATGATTTCCAGACTATTCCAGTGAGTATCCTTTCTACATGTGTCTTTGCCCATTTACATCTTCATTTATCTGTAAAATAAATTCCAAGAAGTGGAAAATTCTGGTTCAGTGTGTGCCATTTTAGTAGATATTATTTCAAGAGCGTGTGCCACATCACACTCTCCCAAAGGACACCAGGGAGTGCTGTCTCCCCACACCCAGGCCAAACAGCGTCGTCAAAACTTCTGCCTCGCCTCGCCGTCATCCTGCGGGTGAAAGATGTGACTCCTGCAGTTTTGTTTTGCCCCGGCGTTAACGGAGTGAGACCCATCATCTCTCTCATGTTTAAAAGCCATTTGTATTTTTCCCTTAAAAACAGTCAATTGTTAGCCAAAAGCATCAGCTAGAACCATTCCTTTTCCAAAATCTCAACCTCAGAAAAGTTCAAGTTTTTAAACAGTGAGCTCCGACCTCCTCTTTTCAACCCTCTGCCTCCGAGTGACCCCAGGCCCCGTGTCCCTGGCTTTACTCCTGGCCCCCCGGTCTCTGCCTGCCCTTGCCATTTTCCTGGGTCCAGTCTGCTACTGGCCTGCTCTGCTCTGCAGGGCCCCACAACAGATCCAGGGGGCCGGGCCTGAGCCAGGACCCCAAGCCCCAAATGCAGGCCCTGTGGCAGTGGCATTAAAAAGAAACACCCATCACCAAGAACCCTATCCGGTGCTACCTCCCTGTATTAGGCAACCACTTACACCGGCTGAAAAGGAGGACAGAAAAGGGAAGGGAAAGAGGGGCTGCCCAGAACCCTTCAGTCCTTCCTTATGCAGCACTAAGCCACGCTGGAGTACTGAGAGAAGGTGAACTTACCAGGAAGGGAGATAAACACACCTGAGCTCGCTCTGTGCAACTGGTCCACTAAGAATGAAACACATACTCACGAAGAGGTAAATACTCCTAATAAGAGATGAACAGTAAATTCGTTCCAATCATTTAACTTACTAATTTTTCTTTACTTAGAACGTTAAATAGCAAACTTAAGAGAGACCACGGGACTATATTTGACGGTACTCTTTCCCTGATTTTTGCAACAGGCCCTGCAGATCATGTGGCTGGCCTCGACCCCAAATATTACTGATTAACTGAGCTGGGTGAAGGAAGACCTGGCCCCAGGGTGACAGGATTGGACCAAGAGGTTCAGCATCAGCCTAGGTCACCTGTGATTGATTCAAGAGTGGATTCAGCAAGGAGGAACCAGGGTGGAGGGCTGCCCGAGGGAGGAGGAGTTCACCCCAGGGGAGGGGGAAAAGGCATGCACACTTGACATTGTTTATTACCCCTTCTTTCTAGAAGTCTGGGCTTCTGCAAATCTACTGTGGTGGATGCCGTGGTGCTCCGCCCAGATGCCCTGTGTGCAAATCTCAGTTGTAAGACACCCGTCCTACTAGACTCTTCCTTTCACCTCGGGAAGGACAGCCAGTGTGCTTCACGGCACAAAAATATAAGACAAACCTCATTATGAATCCTAGCTCTGTAGTTTAAAAAAAAAAAACAACCCACAAATTCTTACTCCTGAAACCAATACTACATTATATGTTAACTAACTTGAATTAAAAACACAAAGCAAAACACCCACAGATGCTTTGCTACTCCTTTCTTCAAAAGAGGTGGAGCGTGATTTGCCTCCCCGAGTGGGGGCTGGACTTGCTCTAACAGCGTACAGCGGGGCTGGCGGAGCGTGAGACGGGCCCTGCAAGGCCTCAAGGCTCCTCCTTGGTCTCTCTCCTGGACAGCTCCCGCTGCCCTGTCGTGAGGACACTCGAGCAGCCCACGTGGCAAGGAACGGAGGCCTCTTGTTAACAACCGTGTGAGGGAACCTTCTGGAAAACAGATCCTCCATCCCCGCGCAAGCCTGCAGACGACACTGGACTGCAACCCTGAGCCAGAGCCACCCAGATGAGTCCCTCCCCAATCCCTGCCCTCAGAAAACTGTGAGAGAACAGAAAATAAGAAGAAGAAATGGTCAGTTGTTTTAATCCTCTAAGTTTGGGGTAGCTCATTAGGCTGCAAGAGATAACTATATGCGATCTCTTCCTGAGTTGTGTTACTCCGGACAACCTAAGCCTCAGTTCCCCCCACTTGAAGAACGGAACAGACAGGAGGCCCCACCCCCCCGGGGCTGTTAGGAAGGTTGAGATAACGTGTGTGTGGTGTTCCGCGTCACAGCTAACACGTGCAGAGCAATTACTGTGTACTATCTGATGTTCTTCTCGGGGTCCCTTGCTGGTCCTTTCTTTTCCTGTCCCTTAAATGTTCTTGCTCCTGACAAAAACACACCTGCCACAACCTTAACACTGTTCTTGCCAGGGCCAAAGGGACTTCCAGTGTGTTCGGCATTTGGCAGACCACCAATCGCTCTGGGCCTTGACAAGGGCGCTCTCTTGGAGGTGGGGGAGCCCCGCGCTCCCAGGGCGCTGAGGGGCCCTCCGCTCCCCGCTCCTCCAAGCCCTCACCACGGCCCCATCACATTCGGCCTGAGAGACGGGCCCACAGTTAGGATGTCCCACCTTCTCCTAGGAGACTGTCAGGTCTAACCTCATGCCTGTCAGCCTGGTTTAACCTAGTCATCACGGCCTCCAGGTGCCCGGTGGCCTGCCACCACGAGGCAACATGTCCTAATCTGACCCCACCCGGCCCTGTCCCCTCATCTCCCAAGCCCTCCTCCATGTTCTCGTGGTCTGACATCAGCAAAGCCCCTCCATCCTCAGTCTCTTCTCTGGACACTGTCTTCCTCTGCCTGCTCTTAGCTGGGGGCTGGCTGGTCCCTGCGGGCCTCCACAGGGGCATCATTTCCTCTCCCATGACCGTCTGGGGTAGACGGAGGTGAGGGGGGCTCCTCCCGCGGCTTCGTTACCGCTTCCAGATTACTGTCCATCTCCTCAGCAACTTTGGTGCAAGTTGCACAACACGACAAATGTACTAAATACCACTGAATGGTACACATTAAAGTGGTTATTTCTAGGTTCTATGACTTAGAAGAAAAAAGAAGCCAGGTAGCCCAGTTGAGGACCCACGCTCCGGCTCTTCCTCTGCCTGGCTCGTCGTGTACCCGCCCCCGCCCGTGGTCAGGTCCCTGCGCACAGGTCCCTCCCCACCCCCCCCAGAGGCCTTCTCCGTCGCCCCTCCTTAAAATGTCACTGCATCTCATCCCCTCCACACACAACAGCAAATTCTTGCTCACCTTTCAAGGCCAAGCTCGACGGCCAGCTCTGATCTTGGGCAGAACGAGCCGCCTCCCCTTCCCGTTCCTGTGGCCCTTCACCGTGCCAAGGTCTGTCGGCTTGGTGAGGCTACGGCTCCTCAAGGGCAGAGCAGGTGTGTGCGCTCCCAAGTGCCCGGCCCGCGCCCCACTCCCCGGCGCAGAACAGGTGCTCTGGGACAGGCTAAGTGAAAGCGGTCTGCTCCCCCCGGAGGACAGCGCTGTGGTGGTGTGTCCACGGGTGCTCCAGGTCCCTGGGACAAAGCCCCTCTTGCCCTACAGTCCTGGCCGGCCTGGTTCCCTGCCCGGCCGGCTGGGAAATCCGAGCCTCACCTGGAGCTCCCAGAAGATGCTGCGCGTGTGGCGGTGATAGTAATGTCTCAAGGGAATGTACTCCAGGCCCTCCCGGTTTGTCTTCAGGTAGTTCTCCACGTGCTTGAAGAACCAGGGCTTGTAGTAGTTGCCAATGCTATTCAGCTGAAACAACAGAGGGCACTATGTCAGCCCACAGACGAGGGCCTGGTGCCACCGGGCCGTAACGGTGATACCCGCTTCTGCTCAGCACCCATGGCCTTTTCAAAGCTTTCATGTCTGTCACCACCCTTGAGACTCTCGAGAGCCCGGTGAGGCTGAGCACAGCGGGCATTCTCTAGCAGAGCGAGGGTAAGTGGTGGCCGACGGTCTGGAGAGCTCAGCCACCCCTCCCCCTCACGGACAGAACCAAGGGGCAGACGCTGAAGGACACAGCGCCACGCGGGGGACGCCTTCCCTCCCTCCCTTCCTCCCTCTGTCCCACTCGGCGGACCCCGTCACCGGGTCCCGCGGCCAGCAGCACCGACTGACCATGGCACTTTCCCTGCCACCGAAACCAAGCCCCACGACCCTCTGGGTGCCGTGCTCCCCTCAGGCAGCCCCCTCAGTGCAGGAAGCTCACAGAGGGAACCTAACACTTCCCTGGCACCAGGCCCCCGGCCTCCAATGCCTAGATTTTATATTGAGACAGTCTTCAGTCCTAAACGGTTCAGGGCTCCACCTGCGGGGGCCCTGGCATGACTCAGCTTCTCTGGGCCTCAGCATCCTCACGCATGGAACGAATTCCAGGCAGGTGCTTTTGGGAAGAGGCAGGGCGGCGGCCTGGAAGGAGCATGGGCTCCAGAGCTGGGGCCAGACCCCGGCTCCTGTCACCCACCAGCTGTGTGACCTGGGGCCGGTCGCTCTCTCAGCCTCTTTCTTCACATATAAAACGGCAGTAAAACTATCGACATTGTGGGAGGTTTTCTGTGCCTACAAGAAATCACACCCACATGCGGCAGACACTTGGGCCCCACGTCAGACCCTGTTCTCTGGAGGGTGGGAGAGGCCCCCGAGTTTTATGGGGCAGGTGAGACCACACCCAGCTGGGGTGCAGCACGGGCTGAGGAGGGGCCGAGAGCAGCGGCCTCGGAGCAGAGGCACGATGCTGCCGGGGAACCGTCGGGGCATAAAGCCAGGAGCAGAGTAAGATGAGCATTCCCAGGGTGGCTCATGGCCCAGACCCATCACAACAACATGCTCCGGGCACTTGGCGTGCTTGTTCTGTATCCCCTCCGTGACCTTGCAAGGCAGAGCTGTGCTTGTCCCGCTGATGAGGAGACTGAGGACCATCAAGGTCGAACAGGGCGCCTGAGGCCACACGGCTGGCCAGGGTTAGGGCAAGGACTCAAGCTTATCCAACGTTGCACAACAAGGCCAGGGCTGGGCAGCGGGGGAACTTGAATGTGCTCTGGAATGTGAGCATTATAAAAACAACAACAACAAACCTATCACTATTTTCTCCCGATTCCAAAAGCAAAATAAATGCCTGTGGGAACTTCAAATGCTGCTGAAATACGCAACTTGGCATGAGAGACACCTTGCAGCCTCATCCTCCAGAGGTAACTATTAACACGGATGTGTACTCATTAGGTTTTCTTTTCTGTGCATACACGTGGATTTATAAAAATGGGATCGTCCTGTGCACTGTTTGTGGATTCGCTTGTCCTACTTTGAACACACGGTGCTGGTCCTGGGCAGGTCACTCTGAGCCTTGCTTTCAGCACTGGTGAAATGGAGCTATTACCTGCCCTGGAGTGGCTGTGGAAACCAGAAAAGCCAACGAGGAAAGTGCCCAGCATGGCGCCTGCCCACAGGGCACAGCGGTCAGTTCCCAGCCCTCTCCCCATCCTCTGCCCCCCACCCCCTCGCAAGCCCCTCCCCTAGGAGCCTCTGGCCCCCATCTCCGGCAGCAACACTCCAGCCCATGAGGGTGTCCCCTCGTGCAGCAGGCCACTATGCTGGCAGGAAACCGGGGCCACAAGGTGCCAGGATGCTGGGCTGAAGAGCCTGTTTGTGCAAGTCCATGTTAGCGTGGCTAGCGCAAAACGGCAAAGGACACCGTGCGCTGGCCTCTGCCTGCTGGTACAAGGGACAGTGAAACCCAACAGGAGCGGAGCAACCTGATCTAACCCCAGGTGTGGCCTGGCCACACACCTGGCAGCGGCACCAGCTGCATAATGGAATCGAGACTGGGGCATACCTGGGTTCGGGCACTCCCTGTGCTCCTTGACTCAGTAGGAACCTCCATGCCAGACAAGCCCAGGAGACGCTAAAGAACCCGGATGCTGTGTCTCTCCCAGGGATAGGTCCGCTGTGGCAGCCAGGCGGCCACAGGAGCTCCAGTTCTGGCTGGAGCACTCAGAGAGCACGCCCCTCCCTAGCCCCGGGCCTCCCCTGTATATCAGGGTGGGCTGCCTCCCCCCAGTGGCTCTTCTGGGCCTGCAGAGGGCCCATCCCAGGGCCAGACACCCAGGGAAAAATTCCTGAGCAGCTTGCCCAACAGGACTGTTTGGAAGAATGAGATGTCCATATGCCTAATGGCATCTGCCACTATCCTCCCCCAACCCTGTTACTGATGGGCGTCAGGACACTCTGTAAAAGTCTGCAGCCTGGGGGCCCGGCCCCTCTCCGATTGACACCAGGCGAACCTTGCGGGTAAGACCGTGGTCTTCTAGGCAATAAGGGAATTGGTTATGCTGTTTCAACATTTTTAAACGTTGTACAAACCCCGCTGCCTGATTATAAACTTAGGTGGCATCTAATGCAGCAAACAGGTACCAGGGATGAGCACAGGGAGGGCCCCTCCGCCAGCCTCTAAGGGAATGCCTGGGAGAAGGCAGAAAACATCTGCACTAGATGTCCTTGCCAGGTGACCAGGTGCTAGGTGACCAGCACTGTGGGTCAGCAGAGCTGGGGCCTGGGGAGCGACACGGCACATTGGCTCTGTGTCTATGTCCAGTGTTCCCACTCCTGCTCCAGGGTCCCCATCCCCCAGCACCCACCATGGTGCCCCACCAGGAGGGGTCCTCGGTCAGTGTCTCTGAATGCTGCTGGATTACAGAAGCTGGTATGCTGGGGAAGTAACACTGGGCTAGGAGTCAGAGACCTGCCCCATGCTAGCCGTGAGTGCTCACAGAAGTCTCTTCCTCTCCAGGCCTTGTTTCCTTATTTAGAGAGGGAATTGCACCAGACGATTTCCAAGTCCTTTACAATTTTAAAAGGTTTTAAGTATACAGATATAGATCAAGAGCCTTAAGGGTACTTATCCTTTGATGTACTTTAAGATATTATTCCAATTATAGACAAAAGATGTTCATGGCTACCTTAATTAAAATCAGGAAAGACTGGGGCACCTGGGTGGCTCAGTCGGTTAAGCGTCTGACTCTTGGTTTCGGCGCAGGTCATGATCCTGGCGTCGTGAGATGGAGCCCTGCATCGGGCTCTGCGCTGCTGGGCATGGAGCCTGCTTGATTCTCTCTCTCCCTCTCCCTCTGACCCCCCTTGCCACTCTCTCTCTCTAAAAATAAATAAATGAATAAAAAGAAAAAGGAAAGACTGGAAGCAACTTGTATTTCCAACCACGGGGCCATGGTTCAGTAAATGAGAGGGCATTCATTCAACACAAGCGCTCTGCAGTCATTAAATGACAATTTTGAAGGCCATGTGACTATGTGGGGAAACGCTTATCACACTCAACCGGAAAACGCAAGTTCGAACAGCCGGTCACAGACAAAGACAAACGGAAAAAAATGTACAAAGAGATGTTCGAACCACAAAGGCAACCCGAGAACCGCAAAAGAAAATGAGATGCTATTTTTAACCCTATCAGATTGGCAAAAATGAAAGAGTGATCGTATCCAGCATCGGCAAGAATGTAGGAGAAAGGCCTATTGTCACACACCGTCGCCGGACGCGGGCAGAAGCACCACTGTTCTGAAGGACTGTTTGGCAGCGGCTGTCAGTGTGTAATGTGCTCCAATCCTTAAGTCAGGAATTCCAATTTTTGGACTCAATCCTATGGAAGTGCTTGCCCAAGAGGCCAAGGATGGATGTCAGAGAATCTTCAACGCAATCTTATTTGTAAGAGCAAAACATCTGAAGCAAGACAGATGTTCACTAGGAAGCAGCGGGCTAGGTCAGTTATTCACACGCCATCCTGAGTCACTGGGAGGAAAGGAGGGTGTGCCCACACCTTGAGGCATGCATCATGTTACAAGCAGTTACTCTGGGGGTGAGCCTGGGGGAAGAGACCCATTTTTAACTTTCCTTTATATAGTTCAACGTTGTGACACTACTTTTATAATTTAAAAACTTTAATGTATGCCCTGAAAAGAGAGGAAACAAATATACCCAATGGTTAGCAGGAGCTGGTTTTGGGTCATGTTTATCGGTAGGGTCTTCTTTCCTTTTACTCATTTATACTTTCCAAGTCTCTCATAAACACAAACGCTTTCACACGAGAGAAAAAAAGCTGCTATTGAAAATGACATCCAGGGCACCTGGGTGGCTCAGTTGGTTAAGCGACTGCCTTCGGCTCAGGTCATAATCCCAGAGTCCTGGGATCGAGTCCCACATCAGGCTCCTGGCTCAGCGGGGAGCCTGCGTCTCCCTCTGACCCTCTCCCCTCTCATGATGTTTTTCTCTCTCTCTCTCTCTCTCAAATAAATAAAATCTTCAAAAAAAAAGAAAAGAAAATGACATCCATCAAAGGAATGTCCATCTAGATTCTGAGGCATCAAATTCATTCTGCAAATCTCGGTTCTGTCATCTCGTGGAAGTTCACAGGACCTCTTAGAGCCTCAGTTCCCTCATCTATAAAATGGGGTTGCTGTAAGGATCAGCAAAAGGGTGTGCCTTCCAAGAGGCACACATGTATCTGGCAGGTGTTTGGGGCAGAGTCAGCAGATGCTTCCATCCCCATCTGAGACAGCTCTGACTGTAGATCCTAGGGCCCCAACCCCAGGTGGGCTGACTGAGGTCACGGCCTCCAAGAACGTGGCTGCCAGGCAGGGTCAGGGTGGGGGCACAGGCTCAGGCTCAGCCCCAGCCCACCAGAGCCTTCCTCTTCCCCAGACCATGGCCCTTGGCCGCTGACGCCCTGGCCTACCTTGCTGGGCTCTGCCTGGTCTGTCATGACCCCCGTCATGATGACGGCCTCATCCAGGGAGTAGAGCAGCCCTTCCACGAAGTGGTTCTCCAGCCGCTGGGACTCCCGGGTGAACTTGTCGCAGATAGCCTCCAGGCCCCGCACCGGCTCAAACCGAAGCCTGACGTACTTCTTGGCGGGGATGATGCGGATCTCGGCGGCCACCAGGAAGCCCAGGGTCCCACAGGACCACGGCACAGCGTAGAACAGGTCTGAGTTTTCCGACTATGAGGCAGAGTCAACACATGCTGAGAGCCTGCACCCCCAGACCCCGCAGTGTGGCACACAGTGAACAGGGTGCAGAGAACCCAGGGCCTCAGCTTACTTCCTGCTCTGTTGCTGTCTTGTTGTATAAACTGTAACCAGGAACTTCAGAAACAGGATTTTCTGGGCCTGTGTTCCCTCTGCAGCTTCAACTGCCCTCTGTACCAGAGATGCTCATGGAAAGCACAACCTCTCTCTTCCACCCAGGTACAGCCCCCGGACCACAGGCTGCCCAGAAAGAGGCCAGGACCAGCACAGCCCAAAGAGCCAAAATGGGGGATGAAGGGCTAAGGGTCCCAGGCCAGGCTAAAAAAAGAGCTTCCTAAGGGTCAGGGTCATCAGGGAACATTAAAATGGGCCATTACTAATACAAGCCTTTTTTAGTCCATTAGCTGTGGAATCCCCCCGAAACCCAGGGAAAGCACTAACACTTCCACGTGAACAGGTAAGGAAAGTGAGGCTCTAAGAGGTGACATGGCTCCCCCCAGCCATCCCACAAGTCAGCACAGAGAGGCCAGGATTCAGGCAAGGTCGCCTAACTCCCTACCCAACATTCTTCCTGCAAGACCTCATCTGGTTCCACAATTTGCTTCTAACCTTATCATTTCTTGTTCTGGTATTTGTCTTAGAGACAGACAACCGACTTTTCATCTGGCCATTCTCATTCAGGTTCTTTGATTCTAACAAAGCTCCTTTTAAAAGAGTCCAGCCTTGTTGGGCCCTTTACCAAGAGGACAGTCCTCTATTGTCTCTGCTCATGCTGCATGCCCTTGGTGTGGCTGTGGCGGAGTGCAGGGAGTGAGGGCGGGGGACTGGAGCAGGGAAGCTCTGCAGCAAGCTGGCAGAAGTCTCTGGAACAGCAGAATTGGGCCGTCTGGGCCCCCACCTAACCACACTGTCGGATAGCAGCAGTAATAACCAGGTGTCTGCCAGGTACCCAGCTCTATGTTAGGAGTTTCACATGTGGCATCTCATTTCTCCTCCTGACAACGCATTTGTCAGACGAGGAAAACGGGCCTCAGGGAAGAAGTTAAGTCATTCATGAATGTTTGTCTCCTTTCTCTGCTAGTAATAAACAGGTCAGAAGGCAGGGCCCAAGCAAGTGTTTAGGAAAATGTGAATTGCTGTGAATCCTGAAAGGGGTCTCTCTTGTCTAGGACCAGGGCTCTCAAGCCTGCCCTGGACTCTCTTCTGTGAGGCCAAGAACGCTGGTGGCTCTCTAAAACATCTTCTTGTAAAAAGGGGCCATCTAGGGGCCCCTTAGATGTGCTCAGAAATGTGAGTTTGGTTAAAGTTTCAATCCTGTCCCACTCATTAGGGTAAAATGCCTTAAATGCTTGCATCCCACTCTGGGCAGCAGAATTATCTTTTGTTTCTCCAAAACAGCCCCTCTTGCCACCTTTAGTTACATCTCACACCTGGCACAGAGCTCTGTGGCTCGGGCCCGACTCACCCGAGAGAGGCAGAATGCTATAATAAATGGCTAAGGGCATGGATCTGGGAGCCTGATAATTTGGGTCTGAAGCCCAGCTATGTGGGATTTCCTAGCTCTGTGATCTTGGGCAAGTTTATTAACCTCTCTGTGTTTTAATTTCCCATCTCTAAAATATGGCTAATAATAGTACCTCGTAAAGTTATTGAAGGATTAAATGGCTTAATATATATGAAGCATTTACAACAGTATCTGAGCACATATAAGGGGCTATATCAATCTTTGTTATTATTATGGATACAGACCCAGACCGAACAGGTGTGTTTGAAAGGAAGCACCCTCAGGGTTCCTACCTCCCCAGCCCCAGGATCCTTGATGCCCAGGGCAGGCTGGTGGGGATATCCCCCATCTTGGAACTCACCGGTGTGCATCGCACAAAGCTGCCATCGGCTAAGACCAGCTCATAGGCAGTGCAGATGTGTTGGAACAGGCCGTACTTGTGGGATGACGACTCGATGCCCGTGCCCATGATCAAGCCCCCTGCAGAGACACGTGTGTTAGCCAGGCAGAGCTGTGGGGTGCAGGGTCAGGAGGGGATCGGGTAAAGGGCACTTCACAGGAGCTGGGGTTGCTCACAGCACAAGGGAGGTGTGACAGGACTGGCCACTTCGTGTAGATTTCCCATCTCTGTGGATGTGGAGAGCAGGAGAGGGGAGGAAGGGCTCGTACAGGAGCCTGGGGGGCTTCCCCGAGGTAGGGGGACCTGCAGGAGAGCCTGTCAAGGATGCTCACACCCTCACCTCTATCCAGACCCCACCTCAATGCCTGTGTGCACTCATCTTAAGAGGGACCTTAACGAAACGGGGCGGGGGGGTGCCTGGGTGGCAGGAAGCTGTGTCCTGTGGTATTTCCCCTGGAGAAGGAAAGGCATTGGGGACCATGAATCCTGCAGAAGGAGAGACAGACTAGACTTATTCTGTGTGCTCCTCAAGGCAGAACTGGAGTTACAGACACGTGTCACGGGGACACAGATTCGCACCAGAGAGAAGGTACTGCCTGAGAACCTGAGCTGCCCGGGGACAGAAAGGCAGGCAGCCAACACCCTGCCTTTGGAGCTGGGTGAGCAGACACAGGGACTTCTGTCACAGACGGGATAGCAGCAGCCCCCACACCGACAAGAGGTGCGCCACAGGGCCTCAGCTCTGACCCTCAGCCTGTCTTGAGTCCTCACCCACTGTGAGGTCATCGAGCTCAGGCAACACAGGCAGCGTCCAGCCAATAGAGGTCAGCAGGGCGGTCACTTGACCCATGGTCACCAAGGGCTCCACACGGACAATCTGTTGACACAAGAAGAGAGACCCTGGGTCACCGGGAGGCTGCCAGGGGTGCTGGGGGCCTCTTCACACAGAAGGAGTCACCCGAGATCTTCCCACACGATCACGTAGGATTCCTGCATGCCCCTTGCAGCCTCTTGCTAGAACACGACACTGCCTTTCATTGATAGCGAATGCGGTTTCTGGTGCTGGGTCTGCTGGCATTTGACCGTGTTCTTTCAAATATCTTTACACTTAATACTTAGTTTATTCCTCTTCCAGACTATCAAAGAAATACTCTTTTATTTGAAAGAAGACAAAAGTCATCCATCCTACCTCTTCATGTTACTCTAGCCGTCAGTGTTAATGCTGGAATGTCCCTACATTCAGGCTTTTTCTAACTGCTATTTTGTATGTTGCAATACAACACACACATAAACACAAATTCAAGCACACATACGCATACTTTTCTACTTTGCTTTTTAAAATTTAACGCTATGACCATCATCCCTTGCCACAGAATATTCACAGAAAAAGGAAACCACAACTTTTAATGGACACATCCATATGCCAACAAGTGGACTTCAGCTTCCAGCCAAGGTGGAGCAATGGGGATCCCCTTTACCCTGCTGCCCAAAAGCAAGAAACTGACAAAATGAAACAAGAGTTTTCAACAGGGTGGACATCAGATGAAGTTAATGACCGCTGAAAAGACAGGAAACAAAACGAGGGGAGCTCTGTGAACACCCAGGCTAATTCTCTGGACAGTGCAGGGAGGGGAAAGGCAGGGGGGCCCAGGGAACTCTGTGCTGAGCACCACAGAAGACCAAGGTGAATAGGGTTTGTAGAACAGAGCACTGGAGAGGAGAGAACTGCACAGACAGAAGACTCTGAAGAACTGCAAAGGATGCCCACCGAGCATTCAGCAGAGTACCAGTCAGTGCAGACACTTAAGGAAATTACCTGAGGCTGACGCCAGGGAAAGTGGCCCTGGAAAGGCGAACAGGGCCAGGGGCTCACCCAGGGAAGGAAAGAACATCTGTTCTCACAAGCCAGACTGGAAAACCCCTTGGTTCCCAAGGCAATGGGTAGAATATGATCTTGCCTCGGCAGTGGCGGGATAACTACCCTTAGACTACACGCTGCTCTGACCTCACCGGAAAAATCAAGACCCTACAGGATCAAACTATTTCCCAGTAACATAGCTGTGCCCCAGAACAAAGCTCAAGAAGATTTATAGGAATACAAAAATATCTAGCACCCGGGGCACCTGGGTGGCCCAGGTGTTAAGTGTCTGCCTTCGGCTCAGGTCATGAAAGCCCCTCGGAGGCAGGAAGATTTGACTCATAACAAGGAGGAAAATCAATCAATCTGTTGTGATAAAATAGGCCCAGGTTGGACAGAGATGTAAAAATTAGCAAACAAGAACATTAAAATAATCATTATAAACCAGTAGTTATACGACTATATTCCCCATATTCAAAAAGTTAGGTAGAGACATTAAAAAGATCCTAATCAAACTTCCAGAAATGAAAACAGCATCTGAGATGAAAGACACACTGGCTGGGATCGACCTTATAGGAGGAAAGAGCAGTGCACTCAAGCACACAGCAATCAAAATTCTCCTAAATGAGACACACAGAGAAAGAAAAAATGTTTACAATTTTTACATGGTATCAGTGAGCTGAGCTGTGGAACAACTTCAAGAGGTCTCATATCCATGTGATAGTCCTCAAAGGAGAGAGAGCAGGGGGAAAAAAATACTTGAAGAAATAATGACCCCACATTTTCCAAATTCGATGAAAATTATAATGAATCCCAAGCACAATAACTAGGAAAAAAATGATACCAAGGCATATCATAATAAACTTGCTCAAAACTAATGATAAAATCTTAGAAGCAGCCAGAGAGAAAGAAGACATGTTACATCCAGAGGAACAAAGACAAGGATGAGAGGTTTCTTGTTGGAAACAATGCAGGAAGGAAGACAGTGAAGTATCTTTAAAGTACTGGGGGAAAAAAACCTGTCAACCTAGAATTTCATACCCAGTAAAAACAGCTTTCAAAAACAAAGGCAACTTCAAATGCGTTAGGATGGATTATCAAAAAGCCGAACAAACAAAAACCCAGAAAATAGCAAGTGGAGGTGAAGATGTGGAGAAATGAAAACCCTCGTGGTCTTGTCGGTGGGAGTGTAAAATGGTCCACCTGTTGTGGAAAACAGTGTGGTGGATCCCCAAAAAAGATTAAACATAGATATGGTAATTACCATATGGTCTAACAATTCCACTTTGGGGTATATACCTCAAAGAACTGAAAGCAGGACTCGAAAAGGTATTTGTACATCTGTGTTCCAAGGGACATTATTCACAATAGCTAAAACGTGGGAACAACCCAATGTCTGCCAACAGATGAATGGATAAGCAAAATGTGGTACATATATACAATAAAATATTGTTCTGCCTTAAAAAGAAAGGAAATTCTGCAATGTGCTATCATATGGATGAACTTTGAGGATATTATGTTAAGCAAAATAAGCTAGGCACAAAAAAACAAATACTGTATGATTCCACTTAGGAGATACTAAGAGTAGTCAGAATTGTAAAGACAGAATTTGTAATGGTGGTTGCCCAGGATGGGGGTGAGAGGAGAATGGGGAATTACTGTTTAATAGGTAGAGTTCCAGTTTTATGAAATGAAAACAGCTATGGGAATAGACAGTGGGGATGGCTGCATGACAATGTGAATGTATTTAATACCACTGAAGAAATGTACACTTAAAAATGGTTAAGATGATGGGGCGCCTGGGTGGCTCAGTCGTTAAGCATCTGCCTTCGGCTCAGGTCATGATCCCAGGGTCCTGGGATCGGGCCCCGTGTCGGGCTCCCTGCTCAGCGGGAGGCCTGCTTCTCCCTCTCCCACTCCCCCTGCTTGTGTTCCCTGTCTCGCTGTGTCTCTCTGTCAAATAAATAAATAAAATCTTTGAAAAAAAAATGGTTAAGATGATTAGGGTGCCTGGCTGGCTCGGTTGGTGGAGCATGTGATTCTTGATCTCAGGGTCATGAGTTCAAATCCCATGTTGGGCATAGAGCCTACTTAAAAAAAAAGGTTAAGATGATAAATTTTATGTTACATGTAGTTTCTCAAAATAAAAGTTGGAAAAGAAATGAAGGCAAAAAAATAAAAAAAGAAAGACATGTTTTCAGACATACAAGCTGAAAGATTCATCACTAGCAAAATCACCATACAAGAAATGTCAAAGGAGTTCCTTCAGACAGAAGGAAAATGAAACCAGATGGTAATACAAATCCACATAACAGAATGAAGAAATGGTAACTACAGGGGTAAGCACAGAAGATTTTTTCTTATTATTTATATTTCTTTAAAAGATACCAGACTATTAAATAATAATGCACGGTGGGGTTTACAACATATAAAAGTATGACAAAAACAGCACAAAGGTGGGGAGGAAAGAACCGGAAGTATATTACTGTAAGATTCTTAAAGTATACACGACATAGGATGCTACCATATTCACTATGGTAAGTGAAATGCAGACTATAAATCCTAAAACAACTGCTAAAAGAACAAGACAAAGTTACAGCTAATAAGCCAACCAAAGAGCTAAAATGGGATTTCAAAAATTATTCAGTAATCCAAAAGATAGGGGAAAAAAAAAAAAAGAAAAAGGGAACAAAGAACAAAGAAGAATATAGGAAACAAAGAACAGGAATGCCTGGGAGGCTCAGTTGGTTAGGCATCTGACTTTTTTTAGTTTTTAAGATTTTATTTATTTATTTATTTGAGAGAGAGAGAAGTAGACTCTCTGCTGAGCAGGGAGCCCTGACCTGGGGCTCGATCCCAGGACCCTGAGATCATGACCTGAGCCAAAGGCAGATGCTTGACCGATTGAGCCGCCCAGGCGCCCCAAGCATCCGACTCTTGTCTTGATCTCAGGGTCTGGCATGTTGGGTGTCCCTCTGGGTGTGGAGCCTACTAAAAAGAAAATAGAACAAGGTGACAGATTTAAACCAAACCCAACTGATAATAACACTAAATGTAAATGTATATGGTTTTTTGGGTTTTGTTTTTTCAGAGAGGGTGTGAGCAGGTGGGGGGTACAGAAGGAGAGGGAGAGAATCTCAAGCAGACTCTGTGCTGAGCATGGAGCCTGACACGGGGCTGGGTCTCATGACCTGAGATCACAACCTGAGCTGAAATCAAGAGTTGGATGCTCGGGGTGCCTGGGTGGCTCAGTTGTTAAGCGTCTGCCTTCAGCTCAGGTCATGATCCCGGGGTCCTGGGATCAAGCCCTGCATCAGGCTCTCTGCTCCGCGGGAAGCCTGCTTCTCCCTCTCCCACTCCCCCTGCTTGTGCTCCCTCTCTTGCTGTGTCTCCCTCTCTGTCAAATAAATAAATAAAATCTTTAAAAAAAAAAAAAAAGAGTTGGATGCTCAACCGAATGAGCTACCCAGGTGCCCCTGTAAATGGTTTTGACATCTTGATTAAAAGGCAGAGATTGTCAGATCGTATTAAAAAGCAATACCCAACTATATGCTGTCTACAAGGAATACACTTTAAATATAAAGGTACACCATGCCACCACTAGTCAAAAGAGAGCTGGAGTGGCTTTATTAATAATATCAGATAAAGTAGATTTCAGAGCAAAGAAGATAACTAGGAATAAAATCAGTCATTTCATAATGGTAAAGGTAAATACATCAAGAGGACATAAAAATCCTGAACATTTATATACCTCTTAACAGAGCCTCAAAATACATGAAGCAAACCTGATGGAGCAAGAAGAGAAATAAATCCACAGTCACAGGCAGAGATTTCAATATCTCTTTCAATCACTGATAGAACAGAGAGAAAATTCATAAGAATACAGACAACTTGAACAACACTGTCAACCACTTTGACCTAATTGACATTTACAGTACACGCCACCCCGAAACATTTTTTTAAAAATTGCACACGGAACATCTACCAAGACAGCCCATATTCTGGGCCATAAAGTAAGTTTCAATAAGTTGAAAAGCATTCTAATCATATAAAGTAAGTTTTCTAACAATAACTGAATTAAATTAGAAACTGGCAATAGGAAGATCTCTGGAAAATTCCCAAATATTTGGAAACTGAATAACATGCTTCTAAATAACCCACGGGTGAAAGCAGTATCAAAAGGGAAACTAGAAAGTATTTTGAACTGAATAAAGATGAAAAAAGATTCCAAATTTGTGGGATGGTTTTAAAACAGTGCTTAGGGGGAAATTTATAGCACTAAACACCTATATTAGAAACAAAGAAAGGCCTAAGTCAATGACCTCAGCTTTCACTTAAAGAACTAGACCAAGAAGAGTAAAATTAAATGTAAATCAGAAAGGACTTAACAAAGATCAAAGCAGAAGTCAATGAAATAGAAAACAAAGTAAAAATAGAGAAAAATCATTTAAACTGAAAGCTACTTCTTTGAGAAGATCAGTATAGTTGATTAACCTCTAGCCAGACTGGTCATGAAGAAAAGAGAGTAGTCACAAATGACCAATATCAGGTATGAAACATGTGACATCACTACAGACTTTACAGGTGTTCAAAAGACAGTAGGAATATTATGAATAACCTAATGTCAATTCATTATACAACTTGAAATAGACAAATACCTGTAGAGACACAAACTGCCAAAGCTCACCAAGAAGAAACAACTGAAGAGCCACCGGGCTATTAAAAAAATTAATTTGTAGATAAAAACTTGCTCACAAAGAAAACTCCAGGCCCAGATGGTTTCATTGGTTAATTCTACTAATTACTGCATGAAGAAATAATACCAATTTTATACAAACTCCTCCAGAAAAAATGAAAAGAAAGGAATACTTCCCAACTCATTCTTAGGGACTTATGAATCTACAGTAATCAAGACAGTGTGGTACTGGCATACACATGGGCAAACAGATCAACAGAAGAGTCCAGAAAGAGACCTATGTATACGGACAACTGATTTTCAACAAATGAGCAGAGGCAATTCAGTGGAGAAAAGATTATCTCTTCAACAAAAGGGGCCAGAACAATAGGAAATCCACACACACAAAAATATTTTTTTCACTCATATTTCATACTATATGCAAAAATTAACTCAAAATGGATCATGGTCCTAAACGTAAAACAGAAAACCATAATACTTCTAGAAGAAAACAGGATTAGGGCAAGACGTCTTAAAGAAAACATCACAAACACGATCTATGAAAGAAAAAATTCCTATACTGAACTCCACCAAAATTAAAAACTTCTGGTTTTCAAAAGAGAAATCAAAAACTGGGAGAAAATATTTGCAAATTGCGTATCTGATGAAGGACTTGTTTCTAGGACATCTAATAAGAAAACAAACAACCCAATACAAAATTTTAGCAAATTGACCAAAAAAGATCTACAAATGGCAAATATGCCCAACATCATTAGTCATTAGGAAATGGAAGTTAAAACCACAATGAGCTACCCCTACACACCCAACCGTACCAAGTCTGTGACGATGTGGAGCCATGGGAACACTTGTGGGAATGCAAAATGCTACAGCCACTTTGGAAAACAATTTAACAGTTTCTTAACAAGTTAACCATACACCTATCATATGATCCAGCTACTCCACTTCTAGTTTTTACCCAAAGGGAAGGAAAAGCCTATGTCCCTACAAAGAACGTACATAAATGCTCCTAGCCACTTTGTCATAGCCCCAATGTTCATCAATAAGTGAATGGATAAACAAACCGTGATCTCTGCATACAACGGAATACTTCTCATGAGTAATGCCGAATGCACTTCTGATACATGCTTCGACATGGATGAATTTCAAAATAATTATGCTGAGTGAAAGTTGCCAGACAAAATAAAAAAGAGTACATAATGCCTGATTCCATTTATATGAAACTCTAAATACAAACTAGTGATGCAAAGCAGGTCATTATTTGCCTAAGAATGTGGCAGGGGCGGGGGGGGGGTAGGGAGGGGGCTAAACAGGGATTAGCAAGGGGCCCAAGGAAACTTCGGGGGCCAATGGGTATGTTCATTTGTCCTGATGGTGGGAATGGCTTCACGGTTCCATACATATGCCAAAATTTAATATTGTTGGACACCTGTGCAGGATTGCATACCAAGTATATGTCAATAACGCTGCTTACGAAAAAGGAAAGACACAGGGACATTAAGCAACATGGCCAAGGCCTCAAAACAAAATGTCATCATATGGATATATTATATCTAATAATCCTTACCATTAGGATGCTGTGCTGTCTTCCATTAGAAACAGAGCTGTGAAAGGGAGATAGGGAGGGAGGAAGGGAGGGAGGGAGGGAAGGGAGGAAGGAGGGGAGGAGGGGGGGGAGGGAGGGAGGGAGGGAGGGTGGGAGGGAAGGGAGGGAGGGAGGGAGGGAAGACACAATCCCTCCGTGTTGTCTTTGATTTAAACTTACTTCCTTTTTCCTTGTGCCAGGTTTCAAGAGAAATTACTGGGCAGGCCACAGAGCACGCACATGTAAGGCTATTAACAAGTGGGTCCCCAGGAAGCCTGGAAGAAGGCCCGCCTTTCCTCCCACCTCCACAGTCCTCTTGTCATTAGCACACTTCCTTATTGGGAAGGGATAAATAGGTTCCATTTTGTCTCTCACCTTTGCCCATGATTTCCCCATACTTTTTTCCTGGAGAACTGCTGACAATCAACAAGTCTCCCTGAGTTCAGCGTGCCCACCTGGGGGATGGGACTCTGACTGATCTCTTCCAAAGCTATGAGGTTTTGAAGGAGGGCGGAGCCTTCTGTGAGGACCGGGATCCTCTGGCTACAATTGCCTCCCTGTGAGTCACTCACGGCAGGGATAGCATCCCACCTGCTGCCAGAGCCTGGGAACTCGGCCCCTCTCACCTGTTTCTTGGTGTCCACCTCCAGAATGTCCATCAGGTTGATCATGATGTTTTTGTGTGTCTTCTTGTACTTCCCAACCCGCAGCGAGACAGTGAGCCAGCCAGGGCGTCCCGTGCACATGAAAGTCTTGCTGCCCTGCTCTTTCCATTCCTGCACCTGCAACCATGGGACAGAGGCTCAGCTAGCCCTGCCGGGGGCTTCCCAGAGCGGCTCGCAGCCCTGCTTTCAGGAGAGGGAGCTTGGAGGGATGCCTTCACGTGTCAACAAACATTTACTGAGCCCCCGCATCCTGCTGGGCCCTGGAAGGCCCACAGTCCTTTCCCTCTGAAACCTCCTTGGCTAGCGGGGCGAACAGAAAGGCTGAGGTGTTGCCACACCACCGAGCAGGACGGAGAAAGAGCGAAAACCCAGGATCAAAGTGCTTCTGTAAGCAACCCTAACTGGGCAGCTCAGCAAAGGCTTTGTAGCGGTAATGATACAGCTCCACAAGTGATAACCATCCACTGGGTGCCCCCGCTGTGCCAGGCACCCAGCACCTGCTATACGCTGGCTCATTTACTTCTCACAACAACCCCAGGAGGGGGGGGTGGCCAGCCCCCTCTTGTAGGGGAGAAAGCCAAGAAGCAAAATAACTTGGCCACTCAACAATGAAGGGCAGAGCCCGGATTCACAACCGGGACTGTCCAACTTCAGGCCTGGAAAGACAGACGGGCTTGTATTAATAGTCAAGAATAGAATAACAGTTAACACTTACTGGGCCTGTGTGCCAAGGCCCGTTCTAAGCATGTGTATGTGTTAACTCACATGTCGTCACTTGGAGGGGGAGAGAAGGGGCAGAGGAGGACCACCAAGCCGATGGAAGGAAGAGCTTTTGCAAAACCTCCACTGTAAGTGACCAGGGCACACAACACAGAGAGCAAATGGCCCAGGAGATGCCAAACCCATCAGGAACACGAAGTGTTCCCTTCCTGTGGAGACGGACATCTGTTGCTGTGACCTCTGACCATCTGTCTCCTCTTCATATGCTTCTAACAGTCCCATCTTCCTTTGGTCCGGGTGATGCCGAGTCTCCTCCTGCCCCCGAAGGTGGAAACATGACAAAGGTCTGATTCCATCCTCTGGCCATAGTGACCAGTTCAGGGATGGGCCTAGGGTCCAAGTCAAGACAATACGGCCAGTTCTAGGAGAGACACTCTCCTTTTACTGGGATTGCTAAGCCGGTTGGATGAAACTGCTGGAGTTTCCACAGGGAGATGGGCCTCCCTGAGAATGAAGTCAACCCAGAGGAAAGCCGAGCCAACAGAGGGTGGATGGATGGAAAGCCAACACCGGGACAGGGGCTCCTGGATCTAGTCATACCTGAGCCAGTTTTATTCCTGGGCTTTTCAGGACCTGGGTCAATACAATCACTCTCTGCTCAGGCCAGTCTGAACTGAGTTCCTATCACATGCAACCAAGAGTCGTGGAGGAGGCTGCATTGAAACTGATGGGGCAAACAGCTCAACACGGAGGAGAACTTTCCTAACCATCAAGAGGCCAGGGTGCCCTGTGAATAGAGGTGTACGAGCAGAAGAGGGTTACTGAGGAAGAGATTCCTGTGAAGGGACCAGAGGAGGGATTCCATGATGAATGGGCCCCTGCCTGACTCTACGATCCCAGGGCTTCATATGTACTCAGCGGTGTGGGAAATGGATTGTGGGTGCTGCATTCCAGCAGTTGGATGGGCCGCATGAAGTGAGTGTGGAAGCCTTAAAGCTTGAACCACCGGTTGGACTGGATCCTGATGGGAACTGAGCAAGAATTTGGGCCGGGAGGCAAGGTTGTACAAAGTCCCTCTTGTGATGTGAATATGTGCAAACCAGAGAGAGGTGGGGAGGGCCAAGAAGAAGGTCAACCAGTCAGGAGGCTATTATCACAAGCCAGGTGTGAGGCAACAGAACCAAACCTACTGGGTGGAATGGGAAGGGATGGGAAAGGAGAAAGGTCAGAGTTGAGGCTCTAAAACCAGGCTGACCTGGGTTCCAGCCCCATTTACTAGCTAGATCACCTTGAACACATGACTACCACTTCAGTCTCAATTTTCCCATCTGTAAAACAGGTACAAGCCCTATCAGGGTTGCTGTGAGATCAGAAATGATGGACATCAAGGGGCATGGGCTATGGCACATGGCAAGCCCAGCGCAGTGGGCTGGTTTGGCCGAGCCCCTTGTCTTCCTGTCCAGTGAGAACCTTTGGCTTCGTTTAGGTAAACAAGGGCTTCATACACACTCAGCGGTGTGGGAAATGGATTGTGAGTGCTGCATTCCAGCTGTTGGGTGGGCTGCATGAAGTGAGTGTGGAAGCCTTAAAGCCTGAACCATCGGTTCGACTGGATTCTGATGGGAACTGAGCAAGAATTGGTCTGGGAGGCAAGGTTGTACAAAGTCCCTGGGCTGCTCTGGGCCAGGCCCCAAGGGCCAGAGGTGAGTTGGCGGATGGTCCCTGCTTTCCAGGAGCTCACGCTCAGCTTGGAGGGGGACGGGGCAACAACAAACAAGCAAATGGGAGAATCAGAACCGTGGATAGAGTTAGGAAAAGAGGGCGCAGTTGGGGAGGGAGGGTAGGCAAGGCTCTGGAGCTGTGACTGTGACCAGATGAACCCAGGACAGCCCATGCAAAGCAGTTCCAGACGTTGCATTCTGCCCCCAGCCCGAGGTCTTACCCCTCCTAGGGGTGGCCCCCAGCATCCATCTTCCCACTCTTGCTTGCTGCACCCATCACCGCGGGCACAGAACATGGAGGCTGCTCTACCTGCGCGGAGCTTCGTGGCAAGAAACAGAAGCTCTTTGCAACCAGACACTCCTAAGAGGGACGTCAGGAGGGGCAGAGAGAGCCAAGAATGCCGAGGCCCCAAGCCCAGGCCAACCCTGGGTGTGGAGAAGGGGGCTCCACTGTGAGCAGCAGCAGGGGCCCGGGCTCTGTGGGCGCAGACCCTGGGGAGGATGTGGAGTTACTGGGGATGCCTCCTCAACGACTGCGCGCCACTGCGCGCCAGGCCCAGGGCCGCGAGGCTCTTGACCCTGGCTCGGGGCTACCTTCTCACCCTGGTCTTCGTTCTAAAGAAGTCAAAAGCTCCTTGCTGCTACAGAGTAAACTCTAAACTCAAGACCCCGCCCCAACCTAGTTCCTTAGGGACTTTCCACCCTTCTCCGCCTCTGGGCCTTGGCTCACACCCCAACCCTCCACCAGACACACCTTCCTCCTATCATTTCCCCTACTTCCCAGTGTCTAGTGCCAGCCCCACCGCCCAGAAGCCCTTCCGTCTCCGAGATCGCGCGGGCCTGGAGGCAGCCACCTGTGCACCGCTCGCCCTCCCCTATCTGGTGATCCTTTATATCCCTCTGGGGAAGCCGCACGTGCTCCGCACAGAGTAGACACTCCATCAACACCGAGCAACGTTTTGTCCCCTGAATGCCTCTGCTCACTCCGTTCCCTCCCCGGGAAGCCCCCACCATCCCATTTTGCGTTCCAACCCACCCCCCTCCACCGCCGCCTCCTCGGCGAAGTCCGGGCTCCCGGTGCACCGCACGCCACCTCGCGCCCAGCGCGGAGCTCCCCGCGCACACGGCCGAGTCCCGCCGACCCGCTCCCGCCCCGCTCGGCGCCGCACACCTGCTTCTGGATGTCCCGCACGCGCTGCCCGTGCAGCCGAGGCGCGCTGCTGAGCTTGAACACCACCCAGGCGCGCACGTAGTAGTAGATGTCGAAGATAAGAGAGAGCGGCAGGAGGAAGAGGCACACGAACACCCAGCGCTGGTGGATGAGCACGAACTCCAGCCCCTTCACGCGGACCCAGAGCAGGAAGAGCAGCGCGCACACGGCCAGCGACACGGCGGGCTCCATGGTGGGGCCGGCGGCGCGCCGCGCGGGGGAGGGGGATGCCGGCTCGCGCCGCCTGTCACCGCCACCCGCTCCGCGCCCGCCTGAGCCCGCGCCGCCCGCCGGCCGCTCCCGGGGAGTCGGGGGCGGGGGGGGGGGGGGGCGCCCCCCCCCCCCCCGCTTGGCCCGGGGCCCCCCGCCGCGGGGGGCCCGCCCCCCCCCCCGGCCCCCCCGGGGGGGGGGGGGGGGGGGGGGGGGGGGGTCGCCTCGCCGCCTCGCGATTGGCTCGGGTCGCCAAGGTTCGGTGGGCCGAGACCCGGCTGGCGACCAATGGCGAGCCGCGCCGGGGATCGGACCAGGAAGCCGCGGCTTTTATTGGCTGCGGGAGTCAGGCCGCTCCACCCTCTCCTCGCAGACGCGCTGGGAGGGGTGGTTGGGGAACACGCGCGCTGGTGGGGTAAACTGCGCCCTGCGGCGAGGGAGGCTGCGGCGGCGCGGGCGGCCGCAGTGGAGGGGCCGGCTGCTGCCGCAGCTCCTCAGGTGACGCCTCCTCGAGGGTCGCGCGTTAGGCTGTCACGCGTTGGGTTGCCTCGGAAGGGGTGCGCTGGGAGCGCCCCAGGGCCCTGGGTCTGTCACCTTGCAGCTTGGCCGAGGACTCCTGACCTGGCCAGGGAGAGTGCAAACTTGGCCTTGACTGCGGCAGTCAGGTCGTTCCGTACCCGCAAGGCCACGAGATGCACCGTTTCATTTCTCAAGGCGCTCTCTGTAGATTCATTCGAGTTCTACAGCAGTTCTGGACGGTGGGCACCCTTACTTACCCCTTTTCCACTCGGCTGAGGCAGAGAGGGAGGACCCCCAGCCGCTGTGAACGTTCTAGCGGCCACTGTGCCCGGCGGGAGGGGAGGGGGGACGTGCCCCGGGGGTAGGGGTAGGGTGCTCCGGGGCAGCCTGCACCGCGGACCACTGACTGTTATCAGTAAAAGGTTAAATCCAGTATCATTTGCGTTTCACCTCGATCCTTAGAGAGACCGTTACCTCTTCTGAAATTTTAGGAAGTGTAGGAGGTTTTTATTTTGGGAGCTAAACCTGACTAATCAGGTCCTACACTGGTCTTGCTTACGAATCCACTTTCTTTCATCTTTGCAGGAACATGCACTCTTAGGAGGTTTCCTGGGCCCCATCATCCCTCATTTCTTCAGTGCTTTTGCTCCAGCTGGCACCTCTGGAATGCCCTTACCCATCCCCTTAATAGAACTAAACTTAGACATCCTCAAAGACCTCTAGAACTACACTTCCTTCCCTTTTCAGGTGCTCATAAAACAAAGTGCATCCGTCATGATTCTTACACGTTATTTTGTAATTCTCTTTATGTGTCTCTCATCCTGGCCGACTGAGCTTTAGGGCATACGATGTGTCCTCGTTCCTTTTTGTGTTTCCAGTTTCTAGCACAATGCTTGATGCTAGTAGACACCCTAGCGTTTTTTGACCAATGAACGAATGAACAATGTAGGCAGAGGCTCAAATATTCGATAATGATCAAAGCCCAGATGGTGAAAGGCTGTTTTCATTGGGCTTTAAAAATGAATAGTCTTAGACCTATGTTGTCTTATACAACAGATACTAGCTACTGGTATGTGGCTAATCTAAATTGAGATGTACTTTAAGTGTAAAACACACTGGATTTCAAAGGCAGTACAGAGAAGAGAATGCAAAATATTTCATTAATAATTTTTATATTGATTATATGTTGAAATGATGTTTTGATGTACTGGGTTAAATAAAATATTAAAGTTGATTTTACTTGCTGTGTTTACTTTTTAAAGGTAGCTACTAAAAAATTTAAAATCATGGATCTGTCTCAAGTTATATCTCTAGCAGCTCCAATCAAGAGGGGGCAATTGAAATGTAAAGAGGAGAGCCACTATGGAAAATGCCTTTCCCCTGGGTTCTGTCTGAATTCAAATGTTGGAACTGTTAGAGAGGGTTTTACTTTAGAAGCTTAACCCCCGGGGTGGGGGGGGCTGGGTGGCTCAGTCCTGGGATGGAGCTCCCCATCAGGCTCTCTGCTCAGCGGGGAGCCTGCTTTCCCTCTCCTTCTGCCCCCACCCACCCACTCCAGCTCTCTCTCTCTCTCTCTCTCTCACTCACTCTCTTGGTTTCAGCTCAGGTCTTGATCTCATGAGTCATGATCTCATGAGTTATGAGATGGGGCTCCTCCTCAGTGAGGAGTCTGCTTGAGATTCTCTCCTGCCCCCTCCCCCCACCCCAAGGCACATGCTCACTCATGCTCGCTCTCTTTCTCAAATGAATAAACCTTAAAAAAAAAAAAAAAAGAGCTTAACCAGTCTGAGTATTGTTGGGGTATGAGGTAATCTGGAAAGTTAAGTTCCACCTAAAAATCGACTTTGGACTAAAGTGTTTAGTGCCTTGTGGGAGAAATTACAAAATTACTGGTAATCAGAATAGTTTCACCCTTGGGAAGAGGAGGAGGACCCCTCAATAAGTAAAGAAGACTGAGCTTTAGGGGACAACTCTCAAAAGAAAAATCAATGAAAAAGTACTCAGAACAGGGGCGCCTGGGTGGCTCAGTCGTTGGGCATCTGCCTTCAGCTCAGGTCATGGTTCCAGGGTCCTGGGATCGAGCCCCGCATCGGGCTCCCTGCTTGGTGGGAAGCCTGCTTCTCCCTCTCCCACTCCCCCTGCTTGTGTTCCCTCTCTCGCTGTGTCTCTCTCTGTCAAATAAATAAATAAAATCTTAAAAAAAAAAAAAGTACTCAGAACAGTTGTTAACCCAGCCTGCATGTTCTCATTCTCTCTTCCTGCCTACCCGCCTGCATCTTTGATTCTTCTTTTGTGTCCCCATAAACCTCAACATTTTGGGCTACTATTGTCGAGGCAAGAAAAATAATAACCTCAAGTTGGGCCAATTAATTAACTTTATCTTTTAAATTAACATATAGTGAAGGTGCTTATCGTTTGCATACAGTTTATGAATTTTAGCACACGTAAGGGTTCTTGTAACCACCAACACAATGAGGATCTAGAATAGTTTCGTTATCCCAAAAAACTCCCTCCTTTGAAGTTACATCCTTCCCCCACCTTTAGCCACTGGAGACCACTGCTGTGTTCTCAGGAGTATAGTTTTGTCTTTTCCAGAGGTCAAGATCATACGAATGGAATCATGCAGTTTGTTATCTTGGGCCCATTAATAGTTTTTAATGGATTTCTTATAGTGGTAAAATACACATAACAATGATCATTTTAACTGTTTTTAAGTGTACAGTTCGGTGGTATTAAATACATTCACGTGGGGTGCCTGAGTGGCTCAGTCGGTTAAGTGTCTGCCTTCAGCTCAGGTCATGATCTCAGGGTCCGTTCAGTGGGGAGTCTGCTTCTCCCTCCCCCTCTGTCCATCCCCCCCCCCCCCCCCGCCCCAGCCCACCGTGCATCTTTTCATGTGCTTATTGGCCATTCAAATGGAGAAATGTCTGCTGAAATCCTTTGTCCATTTTTGAATCAGCAGCTTTTTTTAATGTTGAGTTTTAGGGGTTCTCTGTGCATTCTATATATTAACCCTGATCAGATATATGATTTGCATATATTTCCCCCCATTCTGCGGGTGGTAGGCCCATTAATTTTTGCCCAAGGCAAGGAAGCTCCCTTTGATGGGGAGTCTCCTCATGAATGCACATTATTGTTACTAAAGGTACATTATTTACATGAAATCTCAGTTAGTTTGAATGCTTAGGAATGGGATGTTCTGGTTAACAAGTTCTCAGGTTAACTGGAAAGTAAGCAAAATCCCCCTACAGTTTGACAATGTAGCAGTCTTTCTAAAATGTGAGTCCCCATTCCTTTTGTAACGAATATAACCTAATGAACACAGATGATTTTTTTTTATTAAGGAGCACAATGAACACGAGAGTCCTAGCAAAGAGCATTTTTTTATATTTGTACCAAATGATCTACTGAGATCATTTGGTCTTTGAAAGAGGTCTGAGGGGTAGCAAGGCAAAGGACTACTGATCCACGTTGTTTTTAATAAATGGAGATATACAGACTTGGGGGTCTAAGTGACTTGCCTGATCAGTGTCTTATTCTGGTGAATAGATAAGCCAAAATACAGCTCCCATTTTCTGGATCTTTCCATCATTGGAATATGTTCCCTCAATTATTTGGTGAAACACCATTTCCTGTGGTTCAGTTCCACTGATATAAAGTGGAACTTTTAGACTAGGGTTTCTTGAAGTGCAGTCTTGCAGACCATCCACATCAGAATGCTTGCTAACATGCAGGTTCCTGGACTCACACATCACACTGAATCTAAATCTTCAGAGGTGAGGCCCAGGAATTGGCTTTTAAAGGTCTCCAAGTTAAGCTTATGCTTGCTAACATTTAGGAGATTAGACTGAATGTTTATTGACTCTGAAACTTCTCTAAGAATATTCTTTGTTTTTTTAAGCCCTAGTAAGAGGTTCTTTTCCCTTGCAGAGTGCAGCTTTCACCTAAAAGTTTATCCACAAAACTATAAGCTAACTTCCAGATGGTCAAGATTTTATTGTCTTATTACCTGGACTTTCTTAAGAACAGTAAGCAGTTTTTCAAGTTTGCAAGACAAGACCTTAACTTGATTGTAGGGGAGTTGGCTTTCTTATGCTAGTGGATGGAGTAATTTATTCATTCAGTCAGTCAGTCTCTCACTTGTGATGCTTTTGGCTGCATGTAGCTCAAAGAGCTGCAACAAGAAGGGTGCTTGTATTCTCATGTAGCAAGAAGTCTGAATGTAGGTTGACCCAGAGTTGGTTAATGCACTGGCTCAATGATACCTCGAAAGACCCAGTCTTTCTTATCTTCTCAGACAGTCTGAGAATGACCCTGTCATTCTCAAGTTAGCTTCTATGATGATGGCCAGAGTGTTCATGGTTCCAGCAGATATAGCAACATCCAGTAGGGGAAGGGGAATCGATTCTAGGTGATTAACAGTGTCTATCAGTGATTATTGATGTGTAGGAACTGTGAAAAGTACTGGGGATATAGCAGTGACCTAGACACAGTCCACACTCTGACAGACCATTGTGGGAGATCTAGACCAATCAAGAAGCAATTATAAAGCACT